GCGCGGTGGCTTTGCTCTAGCGCGGCGAGAGAGAGGCGATGCGAGGCAGAGGAGCGCGTATGCGGGCGAGTGAGGGAGGGCAACGGTGTCATGTGGCTTTGTTGCCCACGTTGGCCTGACCGGTGGGGCCGACGCCGGCGTATGGCCACCACACGGCGCACGCGGCGTCGATTCAGACGCCGTTGAACCCGACTGACAGCGCGACTTTGTGACTCTATAACTCTTAATCCGTGGTGAATTTTTGAAAACTTACTTAATCAAATTTGTAGAGCTAAGTGAGTACTACAAAAATGCTTAAAGGAGTTTGGTATAATTCCCAATGGTTTTCAAACTACAAAGCTCCAAAGTAGAGTACTTTGAAACTGTAGTCAGCACATGACTTAGCAAAATTTTTTGTTTCAAAACAACATTTTGTTGATTTTTGTGAGCCCTATTTGACTAAGTTAGACACTAATTTAGCTCATGATCCTTAAATAAAGTTTGTTACCCTTGATGTGAACTACAACTTTTATTTATGTCATACAGCCATGCAAATAATCTAAGGTACTATTCAACTTTGGTCAAACTAGCATCATGAAAATAACATTTCAAAGTACACCAACACTTAGAAGCAAAATTGATCCATGTCATGAATACAAAAGTTGTTCCATTCACCATTCTAGATGTGTCTAAGGTGTTTTCATGACCTCACAACCATTTCATACATTGGTCATATATGATTACAAGCATATATATATATATAATCATTTCATATGACAATGTATAAGAATGAGATGAAATTTCATATGCTCATGTTCATGAATGCTTGGATGATGCTTGTGCTCATGAAATGCAAATGCCAAATGCAATGCTTAACACTGGGGTGTTACATATAATTACAAAGTTCAAGAAGCTAAGAAAGAATCTCAAGGAAAAGCAAGCTTCCATGCAACCCTCAAAGCTACCATTGCAAATACTAAATTGCTCATACAGTTTCTAGATACCCTAGAAGAATGCAGAGATTGGAGCCTTTATGAATGGAACTTCAGGACTGTGTTGAGGACAAAACTCCTGTCTCTCCTTGATCTGCAAAAAAATTATTGAAAACAGAGGGGCTATCAAATGGGTGATGCAACCACTAAATTCTTCCATGCAAATGCAACAATTAGAAGAAGAGGTAACCTGATTAGCCAATTGGAAAAGCAGGATGGTACTATCTTGATCTACCACAAGAACAAAGAAGAACTTCTTTGGCAGGACTTCAAAGAGAGGTTAGGAAGAACTGATTTCACAAGGTTTGACATTAATCCATCAAGCATCTTAGAGAGAAGAGATGACCTCAGCTATCTCGAAGAGCCCTTCTCAAACATTGAAATTTGTGAGTAATTAAGGGCGCCAAACGACAAATCACTTGGCCTAGATGGCTTTAGCAATGAGTTCTTAAAAAAATGCTGGCCAACTATAAAGGAGGATTTCTATAGATTATGCAGAGAGTTCCATAGCAACAATGTCTGCCTCATAAGCATTAATTCTTCATACATTACACTCATCCCTAAAGTGGAAGGACCCAGAACAGTTAATGATTATAGGGCAATTTGCTTGCTAAATTCACCAGTAAAATTAATAACCAAGTTGTTGGCAAACAGGCTGCAACCAATGATTACAAAGCTAGTGCACAGAAACCAATATGGGTTCATCAGAGGAAGGACTATTCAAGATTGCCTTGCATGGTCACTGGAATACTTGCACATGTGCCACCATTCAAAGAAGGAAATTGTTGTTATCAAACTGGATTTCGAAAAGGCATTTGATAAAATGGAACATGAGGCTATGCTGACAATCATGAAAGAAAAAGGCTTTGGGAATAAATGGTTGGAATGGATGCAGTCAATATTTTCTTCGGACACTTCAGCTGTTCTTCTAAATGGAACCCCAGGGAAAAGGTTCAACAGTTTGAGAGGTGTGAGGCAAGGTGATCCTTTATCACCCTTGGTGTTTGTACTAGCTACTGACTTCCTACAATCTCTGGCCAATAAGGGTAAAGAGTTGGGAATGTTAAGGTTACCTATACCTATAGAATCAAATCAAGACTTCCCAGTGATACAACATGCTGATGATACACTGCTTGTGCTAGAAGGGGACACAAGGCAGTTATTCTTCCTCAAATCAATGCTCAACACCTTCTATGAAGCCACAGGATTAAGAGTAAACCTCAGAAAATCAATGATGCTGCCAATAAACATCAATGAAGAAAGATTTGATCTGCTAGCAAAGACCTTTGGCTGCTCTAAGGGGTCATTCCCATTCACTTATCTTGGCCTTCCAATGGGGTTGACCAAACCAAGAATTCAAGAATACCTACCCTTCATAAGTAAGTGTGAAAAAAGACTAGGAAGTGTATCAAGCTTTCTCTCCCAGGCTGGAAGATTAGAACTGACAAATGCAGTATTCACATCCCTCCCAACCTTCTTCATGTGTACACTTGCTTTACCCAAAACTGTGATTAAAAGAATTGATAGCTTCAGAAAGCACTGCCTCTGGAGGGTAATGATATTAATGCCAAAAACCATCAAAAGCAGCATGGAAGATGGTTTGTAAAACCAAAGAAGAAGGATGTCTAGGAGTCATTGACATTGAGAAACAAAATGAAGCCCTGCTGTTAAAGAACCTAAACAAGTTTTTCAACGAGAAGGATATTCCTTGGGTACAGCTGATTTGGGAGAAATATTATAGGAATGGGAAACTACCAGGTCACACAAAGAAAGGATCTTTTGGTGGAGGGATATCTTGAAATATCTCCCTCATTTCAAAGAAATGACAAGGGTCCAATTACAATGTGGCAGCCGTATTCTTTTCTGGCAGGATAACCGGAATGGGCAAGAGCTAAAATCATTGGCTCCAGAACTATATTCCTTTGCTAAAAACAAGCTCATTACAGTACAGAAGGTCAGGGAGCGGGGAGATTTCATCCAACTACTTTATCTACCAATCTCAGAAGAAGCTTTTGAGCAAATGCAGCAACTGCTACAAATATTGGGAAGTCTGACAATAACAGAAGACAAGGATATCTGGAGGTATATATGGGGAGAAAATTTCAGCTCTTCAAGAGCATACAGGGCTCTAATGGGGCATCACCAAGTTCATAATGCATTTCGATGGCTGTGGGAATGTCTTTGCCAACCTAAGCATAATGTATTCTTTTGGCTTTTAATCAAGGACAGATAAAGTACAAGGAATATTCTAAAAAGAAAGAACATGCACCTAGAGTCCTACAATTGTGTTCTGTGCCTTCAAAACACTGAAGAAACCTGTCAACATCTCTTCCTTCAGTGTCCATTCGCAAAGCAATGCTGGAGACTGATAAACATTGACATTCCTCAGAATGAGAACTTTCCAGAGATCACTGATTATTTAAAAGACAGACTGCATTCTTAGTTTTTTATGGCAGCTGTCATCCTAATCTGTTGGGCCATTTGGACGGCAAGAAACGAGCTAATCTTCCGAGGGATCCAGCCGTCAGTAAATAATGCCAGAAGCCTTTTTCACAAAGAAATTCTCTTGCTCTTGCATAGAGTGAAGTCAAGTCTGAACTTTCAGTTGGAACAATGGATTCAAAACCTGCTGTAATAGTTAGATCTAAACTTATTTTCTTTCTTTGTTCCCTAATTTCTTAGCTTACGGTCAGGCTTAACCTCCTTGTAATTTCTGTTTGAGAACTCTTCTCTTTTTATTTCAAATAAATCCCTGCAGGGGCTTCGGCCCCTCCAGTTTCTTAAAAAAAAAACTGCCTGACGTTTTTCACGAGAAATTTGTGCGCTCAGTTCTTAGTGGTGGTGGAGACGTGGACCTGCAGGACAACGATCCTTCCGGAGTAGTGCCGTGGGCAAAACGAGCCTCACTTACGCGGGTTGAGACAGGGGTCGCATGCAGATGCAGCGCAGGCTGTGCAGCTAGCTCGCTCGCCGGTTCAAGCAGCGCCGTTCGTCCAGCAGACCCGTGACACAGGTTGCTTCGTCCATGACACGCGACTACGCATGTGGTTTGTTGTATCGTGTGGGACAGCGAACCTAGTTGGCAGTTAGTTAATGGTGAAACGCAGCTAGCTACGGCGTACCAACCCAGCGAGGAGAACTAGGATAGGAATCGATCAATGTCACGTTCGTTCGGCTGATAAATCATAGCTGAAAGTACTGTTGACTGATTTATTATCAGAGAAAAATATTATTTATTAGATAAAAAAGTGCGGCTTATAAACCAAGCGAAAAGGACGCAACCACGTTTGCATCGTGTAGCGTTTCTGAGTCTGAGATCAAAAGCCTGTGAATTCTACTGTGGATTAAAGCTCCGTTTACGGCGCATGCATTTTTTTTCGATCTCGAATCCTACGTTCCTACGTTTCGTAACTAAAATTTGACAAGGATCGCAATCATTTTTTTATACGCCCAGAAGACGTTACACGGTAGCAGCATTCACACGTTTTGCCTATTATTTCGATCGGGGTAGGTATGTTGCTGGCCAAGCGTTGCGCATGATGCCGTCTGCGTGCCGTGTGTTCTCCTTCTTTTGGTGCTTAATAATGTGTGTGAGCTAAAATCGTGTGATTTCATTGCTACAAAAAAATCGGTCCAAATCTCAAACGCAAATTGAACAAAAGATCCTGATCTCGACGGTGCTCAAAATGTAGTACCACAAAGTGTAGGTTGTTGTCACCGCCGCGCTGCACGTCTCGCGTTCCCTTACCAATCAAGCCTCGCGCCGTCGCCGTCGCCGTCGCCGTCTCCGTCTCGCCGAGAGCAGCGAAGGGCAGACTGGTAATTTACCGACCGTCGTCGTCCTCCCATGCCCCACCTGGCACTGCGAACCCATCGCACCAAGTCACCAACTAGCCATCTATTTATAGGCATCAACATGGCCCTCCGGCCTCCGCCAACATCAACCAGCAACTCCCTCCCATCCCACACCCGCGCCGCTCCGGTAGGGCCCCGGACCACCCGCGCAGGGAGAAAACCACAGCGCCGCACATGCAGCGCCTCGCCTCCTCCCGGAGGCTCCTCCAGGCGGCGCTCGCCCCTGCCCGTGCCAACTCCAGCCTCTCCGCGGCCGCCGCCGCCGCCGCCGCCGTCCCCAAGATGCCGGCATTCGGCTACACGCCGCCGCCGTACGACGGGCCTCGCGCCGACGAGATCTTCCGGAAGCGGGCTCAGTTCCTCAGCCCGTCCCTCTTCCACTTCTACGACCGCCCTGTACGTTTGCCCGCTCCCCCATCGCCACTCCAGTCTCCAGTTCTCTGGGAAGGACCAGATTGCTATTGCTACGGACCAAAAAGAAAAATGAAAAAAAAAACTGTAAATTACCTTCGGATTTCAATATTTTTTTTCCGTAAAAACTGCACCGATCGCCCGGGCGATCAGTTAGGTTAAGACGATCTATCGAACCACGCTAGCATTTTTCGGAACCAAAACATTTTTTATTTTGTTCTTTCGGGAAATGCCGTCTTCTTGCTAGTCTTTTGGCACAGAGCAGTGATCTTTGTCGTTTTCCGATAGGTTTGATAGGAATGCCATACTGCATGTGCTCTGTTCTTATCTGAAGTAAAGTGAGATCTGATATAACTATACAAAAGTATGCAACCGAGCTCTGTCTCGATGCATTTCAGAACCCCATAGATGCTGGCTAGCAGCCACAAATTCTGCATTGCAGGCAGTACCACTCAAATCGGAGTCTTCAGTGAATCAACAAAAGAAACTTGTAGTACCAGTACCCCAAGCTGTCGACAGTATTTTTTTTTGTATGTGTGTGTGCACTAGTAGATCTTTGAGGCCCCTAGATCTTTACATGCCGGATGGATTGAAAAGTGAATAAGCGATAAGCGGCCTTTGGTTATAGTCTTTTCCTGGGTTCTTGCAAATTGCAATGACGAGGGCTGAGGCTGCTCAGTTTTGCCTGCAAACTTGTAGAAAATCTAGGCTCTTCCGATTAATTTCCACAACTATGTTTTGTGCCTCTTAGATCTCAAATATATGTAGCTGCGCCACTTGTTTCTCTATTTGTCAGAATATACTCCGTACATGGTTACTGACAACAAAACATTTAAAACTGTGCACGCATTGTCAAAGTACATAAACAAGGTCAAGATTGGATTTCTGCAGACAGAACCAAACCGTGTACCTAATTTGCTGACTCCTGTTCCATTGGAGTTCATGTGCAGTACCCAGAGGAGCAGGTGTGTTATGCATCAAATAATTTTAAAGGAGATATAATTGGAGTTCATGTGCCGTACTCAGAGAAGCACGTGTGTTACACATCAAATAATTTTAAAGTAGATATACTTATCTAATTTGATAGAAGCTGGCATGAAGGAAGAGAAAAAAAAAGCAGCTAGCACTTTGAGATCCACTTGCTTGTCTGGAAAGAAGCAAACAGCAAAGTTAACCACTGCATGTTGTCATCCTGTCATTACTTAGTACGTGAGATCATATGAGTGCCTCTTGTAGTATGTATGATGTAAGAACCGATCAAGTATATTAGTTTTCCAATCAAGCAATAGAAGCTAAAGTCATTGTCAGTACCACAGCATGATTGCATTCAGATGATCATTTATTCTGCGATATTTGTTGCAGTTGAACATAGTCGATGGAAAGATGCAGTACCTATTTGATGAGGATGGCCGTCGTTACCTGGACGCTTTTGGTGGCATTGCAACAGTTTGTTGTGGGCACTGCCATCCAGATGTGGTTGAGGCCATAGTAAACCAGGCAAAGCGGATCCAGCACTCCACAGTTCTGTATCTCAATCATGCTATTGCAGATTTTGCCGAGGCATTGGTTTCCAAAATGCCTGGTGATCTGAAGGTATTCTCTAAGAAAAAATTCAAATGTTTCTTTATTTGTAGTTACTTCAGAAATGGGCATTCTTTTGGATGATTGAGCCTCATGGAAACTGGTGTCTTTCTTTGCAGGTTGTTTTCTTCACAAATTCAGGCACGGAGGCGAATGAGCTTGCACTGATGATTGCACGGCTTTATACTGGTTGTAATGACATTATCTCACTTAGGAATGGATACCATGGGAATGCTGCTGGAACAATGGGTGCTACCGCTCAATCCAATTGGAAATTCAATGTTGTTCAGGTGGGTGCCCCTTCCATTTTCAATACTGCAATAAGGTGAAACCCCAAAACTTTACCTAGAAACATCATATCCAAACTAATGAAGTTTCATAGCTATACTTGCATCGGTCCCATGTTCTTTGCATCACTGTGCTTTAAAATCTCCATTGAGTACTTTGTTTTGTGGCAAAACACCTTGATGATTGCTAGCTCATAATGTATCCAGACGGAGTACACCATGCGCTTAATCCAGACCCCTACAGAGGTGCTTTTGGTTCTGACGGGGAGAAATATGCCAGAGATGTTCAGGAAATTATTGAATTTGGGACTACAGGGAGAGTTGGTGGTTTCATTTCGGAAGCCATACAGGTATTCCTATATCAAAGCACCGGTTGAGCATCTTCATCACTCTTTTAGATGAAAAGCAATTTTTTCCCTGAGCACGACATGTTCTTTTTGAAGGGGTTGGTGGAATAGTGGAATTGGCACCAGGATACTTGCCCGTGGCATACGATATGGTAAGGAAAGCTGGTGGACTCTGCATCGCTGACGAAGTTCAGGCAGGAGTTTGTTGAACTGGAAGCCACTTCTGGGGATTCGAAGGGCATGGTGTCATCCCAGACATAGTCACCATGGCCAAGGTAAAGCTTGAAAATCCTCCATAATGTGCAGGCTCTTACAATACCATGACATCCCATAATGGTAAAATCATCAAAATGCACATCTGGCGCATCAAGTCGGTTGCTCACATGTTCTTATTGAATTTCAGGGTATTGGGAATGGCATACCCATAGGAGCCGTCGTGACAACACCAGAGATTGCTCAGGTGTTGACCCGCAGAAGTTACTTCAATACCTTCGGTGGTAACCCTGTCAGCACTGCGGGCGGGCATGCAGTGCTCAAAGTGCTGGAGAAGGAGAAGCTCCAGGAGAATGCGTTTGTTGTGGGCTCCTATCTAAAGGAACAGCTTAACAAACTGAAAGAGAAGCATGAAAGTAAGCAGGCAAATGAAAAAAGAAACAAATAAATCATGTCATTATTACTTGCCACTTACATTTTTCCTGTCTGTTCTTCAGTCATCGGTGATGTTAGGGGCAAAGGCTTCCTTCTTGGAGTTGAGCTGGTGACAGACCGTGAAAAGAAAACCCCAGCCAAAGTTGAGATCTCACATGTCATGAACCATATGAAAGGTATGTGTGTTGTGCTTTGACAACCTCTTCCAGGTCTGAAGCTAGATGCAGAACTCTTACTGTAATCTAAGTGCTCTCTTCTTCAACAGATATGGGAGTGTTGGTTGGGAAGGGTGGTTTCTACGGGAACGTTTTTAGGATAACACCACCGTTGTGCTTCACCAAAGATGACTCCGGTAAGACCTGTTATCTGCTGAAGCATTCCTCGTTGATCTGAACCAGTGACACGTGATTTTTCCGGGGAAATGACGAACTGCCTCGTGTTGCAGACTTCTTCATTGAGGTGATGGACATTGCGCTCTCGAAGCTGTGAGGCAGGCAGGGCGAAGATGATGTGCGAGGCAGGCAGGGCGAAGATGATGTGCATACTCTGGTCCGTTGGCATGGGATTTTTACCCATAAATAATGTTGCGATTTGTGAGACAGCACCTCGTTGTCTCTTAATCCGTTGATCCGTTGGCATGGTTGCCCATAATAAGAGTACTTGTGAGACAGCACCTCGTCTTGTAATCTGTCTCGCAGACCCATTGAGCAATATGATTCTTGTAAACTCTAGCTTCATCCAATCTGTTAATCCTGATCTAGCTAGTCGTCTGAATAGCAACTGTTTGTTTGTGACCCATATCAACTTCTTTTCAGATGCTCCACATATTTCTGCTCTCCGTAGACAAACCCTTATCACTGTTCAATAGATGCGAGATGCGGCTTTACAAATTAGATTCAGTACCAGTGATTTGGCAAGAAAGAAAAATTTAACGTACAATCCAAAATAAAATGTTAACGAATTAAATGAATATATGCGAGTATCAGAGCACAGGAGAATAGAAAACACGAAGCAGGCAATGGTGGTTTCTATCATCAAGCCATCACGATAATGTCATTGATCATCTGCAGCAATGACTTCTCTACCCATCTCGGCATCTCTAGTAAAGTTAAACATGCAGCAACTGAGAAATTGACCAACGTAACAAATTCGCGAATTGACACGTTAAAATATACAGCAAATTTACATCAAACCAAGCAACTGTAGCAACTAACTAAATATATGTTCATCCCTATTTTGAACTTCGGAGGCCTATTTGTTTCTACCAATCATAGGCTGGCCACCACCCTTTGGACTCGGCATGCTGGTAGACCTGTTGATCTTGCTTCCAGCGCCAAAACTCTTCACGTCGATCAGGTCTCCAAACAAATTGTCCGGCATGTAATATGGTCTGGCTGCTGCCACTGGAGTTTCTTTTTGGCCGCTGATTTCCGTTCATCCGAGCATCTGTAGCCATGTTCAGACCAGTGTATGTTTGAGAAATATAAGAGTTGTAATTTTGCACCGGTTTTGGTGCTGGAGATGGAACAAGTTGCATTGATGGAGCAGCATATGGTTTTGATGTAGTTGGATAGGTAGCTGCAGGGGCAACAGAAGCAGCAGGAGGGTTTGGCATTTGGTATGTCGCAGGCTGGAAAGGATTAGCTGAATTGGCACTTGCAGGCATAGCCCATGGTGGTGCCGGATAGCTAGACACATATTGCTGGGGTTGAGTCACATATTGCTGGGGTTGAGTCGGATATGCCAGGCTGTGCAACCGGTCCCGTTTGGGCCCATGGTGCAACATAGTTATTGTAAGGAACATATCCCTGGTTTGTTGGATAAGCCGAGTTGTTGGCAGGGTAATTTGCCCCATTTGCCACAGCAGGCTGATAGCTCGGCAGTGTTTCTGGTCCATTTGATGTGACACTCGGCTGACTCCCATTTTGGTTCTGAGTTGAAGAATCTGCAGATGATTCAGGAGGACTGTACAAGGTGAGGCTGAGAAGATCAATCATATCCTGCTCCTTCGTCCTGGTTCCACTACCAGAAGTTGCGTCGAGAGGTACTATTGCATTGCTCGCAACTGAAGAAACTTCAGAAAGTGCTGGATCAACGGGTACCAGGGCCTGATCACCAGATGATGCCTCATCACTGGATATCACAGATTTGTTTTTTCTGCAAATACATAAAAAATGATCAATAGTTAAAACCGTAACAAACAATTACAGTAAGTATAGACTGCCTGAAGCATTTTGCAGGCCACTAGGTACCTTCGTGCTATCTGAGCAAACTCATCATCTTCATCCTCTTCAACTTGAGCCTTATTATCATGTGTAATTGGTGTAGATGGCTCAGGATTTGGATCCTCTCTGTGTAGTTCTCTACTCGGTGTTTCAACTGGTAGTGGAGAACCAGAAGCAATGGCATCATGTTTTGTGAGTACACTCTGTAAGCGATCATTTAATTCTATTGCTTTAGCAGCTCCTCATCCCTGACAACAAGATGCACAAAAAATTCATATATTATTTTTATGATACACTGAATGTCTACACCAGGGCGGGCCTGGTGCAAGCGGTAGAGTCTTACCGCCTGTGACCGGAAGGTCCCGGGTTCGAGTCGCGGTCTCCTCGCATTGCACAGGCGAGGGTAAGGCTTGCCACTGACACCCTTCCCCAGACCCCGCATAGAGCGGGAGCTCTCTGCACTGGGTACTGAATGTCTACACCACCATGTAGACATTAGACATCATAAATTGCAACAATGGAAACCATGCTTATTCATAAATTAGGTTATGCAATACATTAAGAACAAGGTAATGTAACTCTGTATAATCTGAGAGGGATAAGCGTACCCTGTGGAACTGACAAACTGCATGAGCTTTTGTTGATTTGAACGACATTGATTTACAAGATCTGTAATAATTTCATCTTTAACTGCCATGCGATCAGCAGGGTTCAAAGCATTCACCATATCACACAGCAGTTCTGTTGCATTTCTAATATTATTCAAGCCCTCAAAGCTGAGCAGCAAAATAGAAAAAAAGGTTATATCCATAACAGTAGTAATAAAAGAAAAATCTACACTTGGGACAGTCAAATAAGCCAATGCTACATAAGAGTTTACCTCAATGTTTCAGCATCAGATGTGATTCTCTCATTTAGACTTCCAGAAGGATATCTAGGTGAACCATACACCTGATGTGTTGCAGGAGGAGTAAATATTGGAGGAGCATCTACAGGACGTCGTGGGAACATTACTCCTGCCCTCTGTAAAACGTTTTGCCACAAGAACATACAATAAGGGCTAGTAGAATAATAGTTCATTAAAATGTGGGAATTATCTATCCCTGGTGCACATATTTCTTCCAAGGCATGTTTTAACTCCAAATTAATTTAGGAGAAGAATACTCCATCTCCATGACAGAAACTATCTGCACATGAGACTGAATTGGTATTGGATGCATACCTTTAGTTCAATGTATGACCAGTAGTACTGTGGATATTTGCCACCAGGTCCACCAAATGCCCCTTGCCATGAATCCAGAAGTAACAATGCCTTTATCCCTCTCACTTGCATATCATGCTGAAATATTTGATAAAAAAAGATATAAGCAGAAATATAGCATCATGTTTCTCCATTGTTAAGAGAAAAGAAAATGTAAATGAATAATAAATACAAGGCTACGACAGATCCACAAAGTACAAGAGGCTTAGCGTCAATATTATGATCTGTAGAAACACAGACTGCAACCTCTAGCAGTTCACATAGTAACAGTCAGAACTCAGAAGGTTACTTGAAAGAAGAATTATGGTTCGCCTAAAACACAAATTAACATGAATAAGTTTCTAGTGAAAAATGAAAATAGATACCCACAGTGAACCCATAAAAAATTGAGGAAAAGGTGACTTGAAATGGCCAGACCAATTTTCGTGCTTTGAAGACTGATCAACCAAACAACAATAGGATATTGCAACTTTAGCAGCTCTGCTGTTCATTATTCTATCATTAGCAAACACAGAAGCAGGCAATGGTTAACATTTGAGACCAATTTGAAATCTGATAATTATTTAGAAAAGGGCGTACCCAGTGCAGAGAGCTCCCGCTCTGTGCGGGGTCTAGGGAAGGGTGTCAGTGGCAAGCCTTACCCTTGCCTGTGCTATGCGAGGAGACCGCGACTCGAACCCGGGACCTTCTGGTCACAGGCGGTAAGACTCTACCGCTTGCACCAGGCTTGCCCTTCTGATAATTATTTAGAGTATATATAAAATAAAATGCAAGCTTAAATGAATTTTGCGAAACTACGTACACAATGCCTTTTTTTCAATGGTTATATCTCATAAAGTTCAAAATACATATGAAAAATGCTTATGCATAGCTAATTTTGATGGAACTTTTTAAAACTGACAAACATCCGTCAACATTCAACTATTCTTGTTTCTCTTTGCAACATAATAATAGTGATAAGAGAGAGGATGATGGACATACCCTCTTCTGGACAATTTTAACCATCTCTTGTAAAACATGCTGATCAACAACTTCAAAATGAACATATTCACCACAGTTCTTCATCATTGTCTCCAATAACTGCAGAAATTCAACAGGTGGTATAAACAGTTAAAAATATTTCGTGTGCAGAAAATATATTTCTAATCCCAGACCAAATATTACAGAAACATTATTGATCATGAGATTGATTATAGTGCGCACCGTCAAAGTAAAGAATTGAACTTTTGGGTCCTTATGCTGCAATCGCTTCTTCACAGCTTTTACCACATCCTTTGTTTGCGTGATTCAGAGTGATAATATATAAGTTCTCAGCCAGGAAAATCAGAAGTGCAATTATGTAAGTTATTCTGTGTATGTCTCCTGACTGTGACGTCTAATCAGAATAGTTTAGCTTACAGTTCGGATTTTGTAGGCTTCTATTAATAACCTATAATAAAAGATGAATCATGTACAAAAAGGCAAATCCCACGCAATATATGTTTGTAAATGAATGACTCATTATAAAATGGTAACTAACCAGTACCACAACTAAATGGAAATCCAAATGCACTTGTTACCCTGAACAACAACTACAATGAAGTTGGAACCGAAAGTTACAAAGAGCACTGTTGTCAACTGTCAAAGTACCAAAACAAGAGTTGAGGTTCCCAAGGGTGGCATCATCATTGAGTAAAACCGTAAAAGCCATCATATTTCTTGACCACTAATCAAAACTCTACCACCAGGCTTCATCTTTCCCATTTGCTGTAAAGGAAAGCAAGCTCTTGAACTTGCCACGAAAACAGTAACACATCATGATGAGACCCCATGTAGCTAAAGCTCTCCACAATTTGCAGTGTAAGTTCCGTGATATCGGTGGACGCAGACAGGATTCCACCTAAGCTCAAGCTGCAGTTAAGCTTTTCTCATATTTATGCCACTTGCCAGTTGCCACCCAATGATAAAGTTGGCATGCAAAGTTCTCTGCTTGGTGCATATAGCAACAAAAAAGAAAGCAACCGAGAGCCACAGACTGGTTACTTCAAAGAAATCATGTTAACTACTAGTCTCTAGCCAATCCTCAAATCGCCCCAATTTTTTTTAACCAAAGACTGGCTGAAGCGATCGGGTCAACGGCCCCAAACCAAAACCCCAACCAGAGGAACACCACGAGCAGTGCGAGCCGCGAGGCAACGGAATTTGCAAAGCCGCGCCGCCGTTATTGCCCGCACAGGCAGAACCCCAACCACGCTTCGAAATTCCCCACACAAAGCAAGCAACTTGACAACCACGCCGACGCGCGGACCCCACGAGCGAGAAGGACATCAGGATAGCAAGCGAGGGAGAGAGAGGATGGCGATCGCTCACCAGCGGTCGGCGTTGAGGGTGTCGTAGATTTCGAGGTTGACGGCCCAGTCGGGCCCCTGCAGCAGGTGGCTCGTGGACTTGTCCACCCGCGACGCCGCCGGCAGCCGCGCCGGCGGCGTGCCCGTCACCACCGGGTACATCACCCCACCCTCCTCAGCCGCCTCTCGCCGCGGAGCAAGGCAAGGCTGGATGCCTCCCGATTCCGGCGCTTCGCGGTGGTGGGCTCGGGAGTCGTGCGCGGTACGGCGCTCTAGAAATTCGTCGTCAATGCGCACGCGAAGAGGAACGGCAGGTGGACTAGGAACCGGAGGAAGGAAAGCAGAGAATGCGAGGGCGAGGCCCGCCCCCGTGGGCTTATCGACTTCTGAGTCGGCGACGCACGTGGATGACGTGTGGGTCCGGGACCCGCGTGGCAGCGAGAAGGCTCTGTTGGGTTGTTGGGAAGGAAGGAATTGTATAAAAGGTGGGCGACTCGCAGATGATGAGGTCTTGCTGATTTGGGTTTAAGCGGTTTTGGTCCAGGGGTTTATCCGTTGACGGCAGGCCGTTAGTACTTGCGTCACCATTTGGTCCAGGGATTTGCGGGATTTGTCTCTTGTTTCTTGTCATCTACTAGTACTTATACCCAGGAGCCCTGGAGGCCTGGATCATGGTTTAACCACGGTCATACAAATTCAGGAGTTCTAGAGGATTTTTATTCCAAGGATTGCTTGGAAAAGAAAGATTGTCACATGAATTCATTTACACCCCATTTAGATGTAGATATTGGAGCTTAGACTTTGGAATTGGAATTAGTTTCCCGGAATGCTGTTGTTTGGATGCACATAGAATTGAGATTTGGCATTGGAAACCCAATACCAGGTATTGAACTATAACTGGACAGGGCATATCCCAATACAGAGCTGGACCCCTCTGTATTGAGTGGAATTGGGGCCTCTTCTCCGTGGCCAGTGGCGCCAGCGTTAGCGCTCTCTCCCCCGTGTCCACCGGTCAAGGTTGCTCTCTTCCCCGCGCCTGGCTTCCCTCTCCTTCCCCTGATCGGGCCTCCCTCTCCTTCTCCTCTAGGTCCGACCTCCCTCTCCTTCTTCCCTAGGTCCGGCCTCCCTCTCCTTCCCCAGGTCCGGCAGGTTCGGTGCGGGCTGCCTTGATTCGGTGAGCGACAATGGGGGGTTGCTCTGGTGGTGTGGGGGAGCGCTCGGTCCGCGCGGATTGGAGCTTGGTCACGTGGGCATGGTGGAGGGGAGCGGAGACCGGAGGGAGGCTCGGTCCGCGGGGCGCGGGGGACATGGATGGGGGTTCACGCGGGGCTCGGTTGTCCGGCCATGGTGGATCGGGATGGGGAGGTGGCGACGGCGCAAGATCGCGTGTGGCGGGCGGCGGCGCAAGGCGCATCCCCTTCCTTTCCTCGTGGTTGATTCCAACAGCAATTTCCTCGGCATCCAAACATGCCATGTGACTGTATTCCATCTAGCAATTTCTTCTGCATCCAAACATGTGATTTGGTATTATAGCCTATTTCCAAAGCCAGTCTGATTTGGCATTGCTAACCAATTCAATTCCAGCCATCCAATATCTGCATCCAAACAGAAAAGGTAGGGTATGTTGAGCTGCGATTATTTGTCGCGTTGCATTGCACCCGGCTTGTTGCTTTGCATCCACGGAAGGACTAGCGCTCGGACGTCTGAACAGACGGCACGTTCGAACACAGCTCCCGCACGTTATCTCGCACCGCATCCCATGCAGCGTCAGTGTCCCCATGTCCGGATGTCGCACCGCGCTCGAGCAGCCCATCCTGCGCCATAGCAACCCATCCCCAGGCCCCACGTGGGTCTCGTCACCTGCCCTCGCCTACGGATGCGCGCTGCAGAGGCGTCTGCCGGCCACAGGCGCCCGCATGGTGACCCACGACGGCACCCCCAGCAGCAGCAGCAAGCGACTGCGGCAGGCCGCTGTCCATCGGCCACCGACGCCATTGCAGCATGTGCAACGCCCGATGTACTTTTGAAACATCCAGATAAAACATTCGTAACATACGTCTAAGACAGATAAAACATTTGAAATGCGATTGAAACATGCATGTATAGCCATTTGCAACATGTGCAACACGAAGATCTACTTTTGAAATATTTAGAAAAAACATTTGCAACATACGTCTAAAACTCCTAAAACACTTAAAACATACGCTTGCAACATGCATATTTTGTCATTGCGACATATGCAACATCCAGATCTACTTTTGCAACATCCAGATGAAACACTTGAAACAAAGTTATGAAATGCTTGAAACACTTGAAAACATATGCAAACATGCAGATCTACTTTTGCAACATCCAGGTGAAACATTTGAAATAAAAGTCGAAAATGCCTAAAACACAGAAATACAGCGTTCACCGCACGACCATGACCTACCTGTGGGGAACTGCGGTATAGATCGGCGTGGATAATAGAGAACGGATGGAGGTCGCCCTACGCAGAGGCGCTGGAGTCACAACGGCGAGACCCAGCCGAGCAGGGAGGCCGAGGAGGGCCGTCGCTAGAGGGGCCCCGCGAGGAGCGCCATCTCCTACCCCGCCCCTCACTGTATTGTAGTACTAGTAGTAGGATTGCAGCTCGTGATGGAGAAGATGGACAAAAAGTGGCGGGCTCCAGCGACAAGATCGGGGCACGGCTCTAGGGGGCGGAGGAAGCGGCAGGGGCGAAGAGGTGCCGGCGTGGGTAGCAGCAAGGCGCTGTGGTGGGGAGGAGGAAGCGGAAAGGACAGAGTTGGCGCCGGCAGGAGGTGCGCTCCGGCTGCTGCCTGGTTCATCCAGATGAAGACGAAGGGAGAAGAAGGATTGGTAATTCTTTTTTAAAACAAATATAAGTACAATATATACTACTCGTACTCTCTGTTAGGAGTACTAGCCAAGCATCATGGGCGGGAGCCAGCGGAGTGGAGACGCGCCGTGTCCCGAAAGGACAGATGACTCCAGACGCCCGAGTCAAAGCATTTCCCTTCCATCCACTACTGCTCTCTCATGCTCTCAATAGTAGCAACTACGACAAAAATGAGTGCAACCGAACAGGCTCGTAGTTACAGCGATTATAGATGAACCCAGATAATCTCTCGGGTCAAAAATAGTTGATGTTGTATTAAAGCATAATTTAAAAACACAACTTGATATGTAAATTTCCTTAATATCTATAAAACATAGTAAAATCATATTTTCTTTAACAAAAGTATGTTTTGAGACAAATCTAGTTGGAACATTTTCAAAGACCGAGATTCACATTAATATACAACAAAAGGTTGAAGGATGGACTTAAGACAATCTCGAAATGTCACTTATTTTGTTTGAGAAAAAAATAATGACCATATCTAACACAAAAAAGTTAGAAAGTATGTAATGGTTGTTTGACACATTTGATGGGTTCATACGGCGATCGGCTATCAGAATTTCCAATGGGAAATGGGAGTGCAAGTGGAGGATTTCGCCAATCGAATGTGGAGGCAGAAGCCACATTGCCACCGCGGATCACATGGAACATCCAGAGGGAGTCGTTATCAAGGTTGGGGCCATCGGCTATTCGGCGTTTGGACTCGAGCGTTGCGGTTTTGGCTCGATATGAAGTTTTGGTTGTTGATTGTAGTCATGTGACGTTGAGCGCAGCGACTTATTTTTGAGGTTGCCTTGCCTTGAGGCTTTGTTTTGTGGGGCGGGCACGTTTAGAGAACACAGTACTTCAATTGTTATGTTTTTTTAAATATAAAAGCAACGGAAACCTTCTTTCTAAAAAAAAGTGAACGGTAACATATTTCCTGGGATAATGGAAGTACCCACTCTGATATAGAGTACGTATGTTTCTTGTGTGTTTACAGTCAGCTCTACCATAATTTTTGTACTATACTTTCATGCTTGGCGTAGTTTGTTATTGTCGGTTAGGCATTTAAAGACAAGAAAGCGTAAAGAGTAGTCGGCCACCCAGCGTGCCACGTCGTCTGCTTTTCGTGGCCGTTCGATCGGCCGCATGGACGGCCCAGATCAGACGAGCCGCGATCATTTTTCAAAAAAACCATTCTTTTTTTTCGGAAATCACCCGCGCTCCAGAGTCCCTCTCAGGATATTTTGCAAAAAAACACCTCAGATTATTTTGAAATCAACCCGCGGTCCAGAACGGATAGCCTCTGGGTTTTTTTTTCAAAAAACCCCTTATTTTTGTCGAAAATCAACCCGCGCTCTACAAACCCTCTCATCATTTTTTGCGAAAACCTCCTCGGATTTTTCTCAAATCAATATACAGGCCAACTTTGATTATATCTTTTTTTTCTTAAAAAAAACATGTGACCAGTGGTCCGCGCGTATGGGCGCGCCCGAAGGACTAGTGGTAAATTTATGGTGCCATTACGTATGGCTTGTTGATCGATCGAGAAGGTACATTTACGAGTTTACGATATATATATATATTCAGTAGCCAGCTATAAAATAAGTTATTATGTAGCTACTTCTATTTACGATAAGTTTATATACTAATTTATGATAATGTCAATACATATTTACGATAGTTGGGTTATTATAACACATGAGGATATTTACCATAACGTTATAGTAAACCACTTAGCAAGGAGTTACTATAATCTCGTAAATTAATGTAGTAATTATCGTAACTCAAAAGTGACTACATAATAAGTTATTTTATAGCCAGCTACAGGGCAGGGCAGTAGTTATATATATATAATGGAGGTGGCTACAGAACAACTTATTTTGTAGCTGGCTACTGAATATACTCTCCATATATATATATATATATATATATATATATATATATATATATATATATATTGTGGCAGAACTGTCCGAAATATCACATCTTCGGAGGCGTTCGTCTTTCACTGGACACTAAGCACCCCGAAAGTAAGCTATATCGGACGGTTTCATCGAGCACACCCCAAGAAAGAACTCGAACAAACCATATTTTTCCTCCAGGATCCAATAACGAGAATGAGTTTACAATACTTAATCTATTTCATACAACAAGAGTTCTTAGAAAAACATTATTACAATACCAGGTTTAGAGTACGGAATTTAAACAGCGGAATTATAATAAACATCTAACGATAAGATACAAGGATTCGTTTGTGCCCACAAGAAGAATCCTCCAC